ATGAAGCAAATTTTTATGCTTCTTCCTCAAATATAACTCATTTTCAAAATTTGTTGATTTGAGTGTCATTTTTATTCAGAGCACTTTGCTGGAATGATGCACTGACTAAATCTTTACAGCAGGGGCTGCTGAATCTTCATGCCCGAATTCCTGACTAGCAAAATGAGTTTCCCTGTGTGAGCAGTGGAAACAAGCAACTTCTGGCTCTTTGATATTGTTATTGCTTTTGTAGCTCAGGCTGGTCTCTAATTCCCTATTTAGTCAGGGTTGACCTGGAACCTCCTCTTGCCTCTAGCTCCGGAGTGCCAAGATTACAGGTGCGTACTCCATGCCTGGCTTGTTTATGCTGCACTTTACACTAACCTCTGCTGTTCTATCCATCATTGTCTTCACACAGGATGAAATACTCAGGATTGAAGCCCAGTGTGCTGAATGGCTTCAGTTGTCAACTTGATACACCTGGGTGTGGGAAACCTCAATTGAAGAATTTCCTCCATTGGACTGGTCTGTGGCCATGTCTGTGGGGCATTTTCTTGATTATTGAGTGATGAGTGGTGTCATCCCTGGGCAGGTGGTCCTGTATTGTATAAGAAAGTAGGTTGAACATGAGCCAGAGAAACAAGCCAGCATTCCTCCATGGTCTGTACTTCAGTTCCTGCCCTGAGCTCCTGCTCTGGTTTTCCTCCACGATGAAGCTGAAGGTAAAACAAACCCTTTCTACCTCAAGTTGGTTTTGTCAGTGTTTTTAATCACAGCAATAGAAAGTAACTAGAGCACTCAGTTAAATCAGTCACAATCATTTTTCAGTATTTTTTTACCCGAGGTTTCACCCAGGTCACCTCATTTGAGGTTTGGAGTACTAAAACAACACTATCTATTCCCAGACAGAATTTCATTGTTTTACTTTGTGAATAATTTAACCTTGTATGTTAAGGTAATCTCGCAGTGTTCCCAGAAATGGAGAATTCCATCCATTAGGTATGTGATGAAATAAAACTGCAGAAGCTTAACCCTCATTGTTTCTCTGCTTTTGAAAACTTGCCTCTTTAGCTTTGTAGTCTACCTTCAATCAGTGAAGACAGATTCCCGGAACATTGACTTTTGAGCTACCACACTATCCCCAGGGAACAAAGCTTCAGCTAGATTAATTAAATAACACGAGGTAATAAGGCTATCATCACAAGCATTTTTATAAGAACAGAAAAAAACCCTTACAGATTTACAAAATATGTGCATATACCAAGTTGCACAACAGGAATTGTGTTTTTCAATTTGCATAACATTGTAAAGACTTGTAGGAAAAACAACTTGATTAAACAATATGTTAACTGAAAATCACTCTGCATATGGTAAACTGCCAGTTGACAGGATCCTGTGCTTTTTCTAAGTACTGTGGAAGGAACTGGCTCTCAGACAGGAACAGGTTGAACTGAAGAGAGGAACAGAAGAGCCCCACAGCATGTCTCTACAGAATAAGACACTGGGGTGGCTCAGTTATTGGAAGACAAAAGACTCCACTCAGGGACTGCTTTACTAAATTCCTTGTGGGATTGCAGTGGGTGTTACAGGTTGCTAAAATTCAATTGAGCAAGGTTTCAGCTGCCTTATCAAATCTATATTTGAAATTCCACAACACTAATGATAAAAAGGACATTCTAGGCACATACCTTTAGTCCCAGCACTTGGGAGGCAAAGGCAGGTGGATCTCTGTGAGTTTGAGACAGCCTGTTTACATTGTGAGTTCCAGACTAGCCAGGGCTAAATAGTGGGACAGTCTCAAAACAAAACATGACAAAGAACATTCTAAAGTTTTCTATAAAGAAAAGTCAGCTGATACGAGAGACACCTGGAATTAAAACGGCACCATGTTTCCCAGCAATTCTGGAGAATTGCTTTCAAGATCCTGAAAGAAAATGACCCATCCCAGAATGTGTTGAACCCATCAAACCACCATTACAAGGGAGAGGAAACTGGCTCTGAGGCTATCGCCCTCAGAAGAAGCCCAAATAGTTGCAGAGAACCACTGGACTGATGCTCATCTGCCTCTGGCCTCCTGCAGGTCCAGCTTTGAACACGGCTTCAACTGGAGGCGCCAGACACAAAGTGCAGTGGAGCCTTTCCCAGCTGTCTCTCAGAAACCAGGAGATAATAAATGGGTGTTGTGGCACAGTGTTGCTGAGTTTTGAGATGCTTGTTATGCAGGAATAGCAGTTGGAAGAGTTTCTCAAATTGTTGTCATCTATAAATTGTGGCCCACCAAAATGAGAGAATCGACAAGGAAAAGAAAAACAATAGGGCCGGCTGTGGTGGCGCACACCTTTAATCCCAGCACTTGGGAGGCAGGGGCAGGCAGATCTCTGTGAGTTCAAGGCCAGCCTGGTCTACACAGTGAGTTCCAGGACAGCTGGGGCTACAGGGAGACCCTGTCTCAAAAAGACCAAAAAAAAAAAAAAAAAAAAAAAATAGAGGCAGGGAAGCCAATGATGGGACAGTTAGGCCTGTGGCCTAGAGAGCTTCTGGTACAGAATGGAGCAAATGGACAGAAGTCTCCAAAAAAGGTAAATGGTATTTAAACTCATTGCTGATCATATGCAGCAAGGTCAGAGTGGGCTCCTGTAACCATGATAATATTTCTATGGTAAAATGTAGAAGAATTCAAACCAAGATAGATAAAAAAGACTCTAGTTTCAGGCCAGTTTCGGTCAACATTTGCTACCAAATGAGTTAGAAAGGACTTTCAGTTTCTGGGCTGTTTTGATTTCAGAATTGTGGATAAGAGATTGTGGATCAGATTTGACTTACTCAATTTTCACAATAACCCTGTAAGACAGATTCTACCATATTCCTATTTTTATTAATTAATTTATTTATTTATTTTTTAACATAGTAACACAC